AGTAGTAGTAGTAGTAGTTAGTAGTAGTAGTAGTAGTAGTTAGTAGTTGTTGTTGTTGTTGTTGTTGTTGTTGTTGTTGTTGTTGTTGTTGTTGTAATAGTAGTAATAGTGACAGTAGTATTGGCAATCGCCGAAAAAAAATTTTCGGAAATTTTTTTTCTTATATCCATCAGTACTTGATAGTTTTTAAAAAAGTAAAAAGTTTCATCATCTCAAAAAAAAGGTGTTTTCGAGAATTTGTTGTAACATTTGTCATGCGGATTTTTCTAACAACCAATATTTTAAATCAATTAAAAGATATAGGAACCCGAAGTTTTTAGAAACTTTTTAACATCTGCTATGATGGTTTTACATCGAAATACAATTAAAATTTTCAATTGTTATTGTTAACATTAAAACATAGCGCTGAATTTAAAAGGGAAAAGACGAGAAGGGGGAAAATGTGTTTAATTTATTAAATTAAATAAAGTTTAAGTTATCAAATGAAGTTTAAGTGCCGTCCTTTTCTCCCATATAACAAAATTATCATATGGATTAATATTAGCAGGTTGCAATACATTTGTTATCACTGGTAGTTCCAAAAGACAATGATTAAATTAGTGATTAATGAACAACAGCATTTTTTTTAATAATTAACAAAATCTTGTTAGAAGAAATATTGTTGAATTTTGACAAGTAATCGCTGAAAAACATTGTTAGTATTTGCAACAGAATGAACATGTAATCTCTTTAATATTACTATTATGTTTAATAATAGAACCAGTGAGGAATTTTTCGCAAGAAATTGCATTAAAAGTATTGTTTTTTCTTTTTCGTTTTATTTTCATTATTACTGAACTAATCAAGTAAATAAGATTTCAACGATAACAAAGTTTTCATAAATATTGGCGAAATTTGATTCATGCGACATATTCACTGTTATCTGGTTACAAAATTGTCAGTATCACATTTCGTAGTAGAAGAAAGCAATTCAATACTTTCATATAATTAATGCTAACTCTGTCTCAATTTAATAAAAAGATTTGTAAGTTTATGAGTGAAGGAGAAAATAAGCAAAAATTTGATTTCATTATCTTCAAAATGCTGAAAAAGACATGAAAAGATTTACAAATCCTTCTTGACGCTCCGAAATATTTTGTCCTCTTGGGAAATCAGAAAAATAAGCTTTACTTCAGGAAGAAGCGCTTTCTTCAAATTGGCACATTTTGAAATTTATGATGTCTTAAACACTTTCGCACAAAACGAATAGTTTTAAACACTTCCAACAACTCCCAGTGAAACATTTCACGTGTAACCCAAATTTATTTTTTAAATGACAAAAACTATCTGATTAAATTCAACGGGTTTAAGCTGTTGCAATTGTGAAAGTTTTCGGTACTGTGTTCAATTTATCGACGTAATGTGACAAACCGAAATGAAAGTATCGAATATAATTTACGATGCAATTGGGATTTGATCATTTAAAATAGGTATTTACAACAATATACCAGTGTTAAATATCTGTTATTTTTCATTTTTATATAGAATGAAATGCTTATAATTTTCCTTGTATTTCATGCCCATCTTTTCCCGTGTTTTCCCAGCTATCTCATTGTATCGCCAATTCTTCTCTTTAATTAAACATCCATGCTTTATCATATTTTATCACTTCCGCTTGAATAATTTTGGAAAAAAAAATGGAGAAAGAAAGCCAATAATGCAAATTTTAAATTTCAAATTTAAATGTCCAAAGTCCATGCGAACAAATTATAGATATTGCATCATCATGCAATTTGACTGTTCAACTCTAAAACAACAACAACAACAAACAGCAAACTTGCCATAATGATTATAATCATAATAATTCATCCGCGATATTCGGTTATAGCGAAGAACATTGTGTGAGTGCATTGGTGAACAATGATAATTTAGCGGATACCGTTGATACAATTTCAGCAAACTGATCAAAAATTCAAAAATTTTTTAATCAATTAGTCATTATAACATGAAACCAATAATCAAAACTGTTATCAATCATAGCATGGAATGACATGATTGATAATAGTGCTGATTCCATGCTCATTCATAATATATCATAATTCTCATTTATCATTATCAAGATGATACCTTGACTACATAATAATTTAACTGGGGAATTAATTGATTTAAACACACATGCTCATTCAAATCATTAACGGTTCTTTATCACCATTTCTATTTCTTTAT